ACCATGTCATTCCCAGATAGAAACTCATACCAGTGCTAAATCACGTGTACTTGAGGGACTGTTATATCTTGCATATTATTCCACCATTTATTTACAAGAGATCATTTCATCTATTATAGATACCATGACACCGTACTTCGAGGGTCTTTTTAAACATTATGTATTGTTCTCAACATAGTTATAGGGGTGTGAAAAATTGAACACCTAATTAATTTTGCAATAAATAAGGGGAACATTTCTGTAGTACTTAAAAGACGCGCAGTTTATTTTAACTGAAAAAGCGAGGATAAATCTTCTGAAATCTTCACTGCAGTTGAAAATATCAATTTATGAGGTGGATTATTATCTATATTTTACTGCATCAATCGTTATAGCTAGTGTGCTGCTCTGTTATCGGAAACTGCCAGTATGTATTATAATGGACTTTAGGCAATTTTATTTCTAAGGTAATGACTGGATATAAAGAGTAGTAATTTACTTTACATATGAAACAGACACTTTATCTTTAAAATTGTTTGGTTCGAGGATATAATAGTGATTTTCAATTTGGAATATTCTTCCTTGCATATAGACTTAAAGGATTTATTTTTCCTGTGGATAATTGTTTTTGTTAGTAAATGACAATATAAGACCAATCATTTTGATACGTTGTATTAACATGATCACAGGCAACATTGCTAAGGTGTTTACTTTTCGTTTATCATCAGTTTTGATAGCAAAACCTTGAATCTCGAACTATTATTTTATAAATTACACTGTAAAGTGTGTTTAGTGTGCAAAACACTGCAGACAAACATGGCAATAGTATATCTGAAATAGATAGCCAGTTACTGAACCCTAGCTTGCACTTGCTATATTTTTAATGTTTTATTAAATATATCTTATTACAATTTAATCTTTCTTGTAACAAGCATTTTCATTGGCTTAAAAATGTATGTTATCAGTCCATAACGTAAAAAAAAGACGTCGCCGTTTGCAACGTCGCTTTTGATTGGCTGATACTGCAGCGCAATAATTTCTAAGAGAAAAGAGTCCATCAATAAAAGTGGATCTTCACAGGGATTGTGTATAGTAGATTAAATTATAAGGATTAGCTTGAATATATTTTGCATGTTATGGAGCTATAACACAAACAACCGGAATGTACTCTTATCATAAACCGCTCGCGGTTTATTTAGAGTACACTCCGTTTTTTGAATGTTATAGCTCCATAACATGAAAAATATATTCAAGTTAATCCTTAAGTATACTGACACCTCTTTAACGAGTTATGAATGATTTTTGTATTGTTAAATGATTTCAGTAAACAGGGTTATTAATAATATTTGTGTTATAGTGATTTCTACATTCAGGGATATTTATGATAGTTATAATATATATATGTAATTCCATCGTTATAACTGTATAGAGGGTTACATGTAAAATGTGCTAATGTTATATAATTGTATTGAGATTACTCTACATAAGGCTATTTTCGTGACAGGCAGAAATGGTATGATGAGCCACAAAATAGTCATTAAAGTCCCAATTAATGAACACTACAAATTTACAATTGCCGTTCGATTTAGCTTTTTCTATAAAAAACCCAAAACTTAACATTGCACTAAGCGGAAGCGAAATGAAAGCACTGAACACCTTGATTTAAACACTTGTATATTGACTAACATAAAATTGGTACATTCAAATAGGCTGTATGTTAAAATGAGTATAAATCAATGTTATTTAAACGCAACAAATAACAGCCTTTGTAGATGTTAGCAGTCAATCTGTGAGTACTCTTACTTTTATTCAACAGCTGTTGATGTGCCATTCATGTAGATATTGATGATTGTCTGTCATATAAACTGTATGTTGAACCCTATTTACTCTTGTATATTTCAAATATGTACATGAACGGAATCAAGCGACGATATATAATAAAATACCTTGTTATGCCAGTGCCACATGTATACGTTATAAACTCCCAAACATATTTATTTCAATATCATTTATCAGTCTTCGTATTTTAAATCCCTCGTGTTTCGTTCAATCTACCGACGATCAGATAAAAATCTAAGCTTAGCGCGCCATACAAATAGTGAGGTAAAATGAGGCAAATAATTTTAATATCTTATTTCGATTTTATCACCTCATGTATTTTTTTTCTCCGCGATGGTTACTATATTTAGAAAGTTGTTTCAACGGTCCATAGAATTTGCCCGGGATATATCTGTCTTCACTTGATACCCGTATACAGCTTGGATGCATTGGGCACGATGGGTGTCACAATATTGATATCGTGTGATTCAGGGAAACTATATACAAATGTAGAGCGAATTCACTTGTTTATGAACTCGAACCTGAGTATGAAATGGGTGTTAATATCAAAACATGATAATAATAGGTTAATTGAAAAATAACTAGACATTTACTAAATACTTGAAGTAATAACAAATCTGTTAATAGTGTGAGGGGACCATTGTGTCTTCAGTACACTTTTATATTCATTGATTCCTTTTAAGTTTATTTTTTTTTCAAATTCGAGATCCGGTTCTTTCTCTGTTGACTTGGTGATTAATTTCAATTCTAATTCACCAGAAAGTTTATGAGTTTATGTAATTATGATTAATGTGTTTTGTGTAATAAATCAGCACAACTGTGTCAATGTTGATATGAATAACAAGTGCATTATCATATGCTACTATGCATCAATGCGAAACTGAACCTTTGAAAACTGAATGCCAAGAGAAATTGTACATGTAATTGATGAATAATAAGGATGTTGCGCGGCCACTATTGAGGTCGAGTTTATAGTTCTTGTGATTGACAATTAAATTAACTGCATCCTATTACTACTACATCAAAGGTTTCTGGCTAGCTGGTTTATGCCACAACTACTTGTCACATAGATTACACAGATGGATTTCGCTACATCATCTCTACACCTCTTTAATTCGTATCTCTCTCGTTTGACATTATCAATGTCCAAATGTTTGGTCTCGTTATGTATTTTCTCTATTAATCATCAATAGCAATGCGCCTTACCTTACACAGTCATGCTAAGACATTTTACCCAGAGCAACTACAAGGTATATGTTTCCTCTCGCCTCATTGGATAAACATGCTAATACTAGTAGTGAATTTTGGTTACTCTCCAGCGTCCTTTTTCATTGTTACGTATTTATTCATGGACATAGTTTCCCCAATATAAAAAAACGAGAATCATATAGTTTTCTTCATACGGTTTGAACGTCATGGGAGAAAAAAAGGTCCCTTACCCTGGTCAATTTTTGAATGATGGTCCCCTTTATAATCATATGACGTAACATGTATGCAACAGAAGATAGAGAAATACAAAGGCAAGACCGGGGTTCGAACCCGGAACCCTCCGAACTCTAGGTGGACCCTTTACCAACTGAACTTCATGTACCTGGATGACGACGATCGACCCAGTCCAGTTCCGCTTCATTCATCTCCCTCCTTCTTCATACCCTAGCTACTAATTCGCCTTGAATAAAGAGTTTGCAGGCTTGCAAATTTTGTAAAATAGCAAGAGAAATGCAATGGCCAGACAAGGGTTCGAACCTGGGACTCTCGAATTCTAGTTGGACACTCTTACTAATGAACTACCTTGTCGCCGACGATCGACCGAGTCACATTCCGTTATTTGTAATAAATAGTTACATGCCTAGCGTACAATACACCCAATGTTAAAGAAAAAAGCCATCGATGGGATCGATGAACCACGTTATTCAACATTCTAGGGGTAACAGAAAATATATCACCATTCCTCGGGGCGTGATGAATAAACCTGGTCTCTCTGGGTAAGATTCCTGAGACATCAAACACTCGGCCAGATTCAGATTGTACAGTTTAAGAAACCTTCGGGTAAGTAACTCTTTTAAGAGAATATTTTGCCTGGATGACTAACAAAATAAAGTATAAAAAGTAGATGTTGATTCAATGTTAACGCGTCCTCTACGCAGGAGAATGGTATTAAAGATTCAATTACTTTTGTTTCTGTGAATTATGTATAGAGAGATAATTAAAACGCTATTTTAAACAAAACTTTTTGTAAGACACTCCAAAACAAAATCCAATTATCTGCGACAAAACATTTTTTAAAAGCGTAAATGAGGTGAAAGTGAATTTATGGAAATGTTTCAATTTATATTATCAAACGAAAGTTGGATATAGAATTATGAGGGATTTTTGTTCCCTAGGCTTTGCCCCGCGAAGGGACTGTTCGTCCTGACATAGTTATTAACATCATACGCCTGCAAAGCTGTAGCTGACACTGACGTGCAGTGGGTGGTCTGTAGTTTGTTAGTATCCAAAATCTAGTATATTCCCATACAATTATCAATTCATCATATCACTTTCTGCTTATGGCATTTTTAGGGTTATTTTTTAAGCTATTCATAAAAGTTACAAACCTGTCAAATCCATAACAACAAAGCACGACCTACTAATACGCCCAATCGGGATTACTTGAAGCATAACAATTCTGCGTATCTTTATAATGTTTTGAAGCGTGAGATTCGTTTTTTGTATTCGTATGACTAACATATGCTTTACAATTTTATTTTAACTGACAATGTAATTACACAGAGATGAATAGAAGCCATCAAGTTAAAACTAACGATGATAAAAGTGGGAACCCTGTCTGTGGGACTAACATTGTAAGAGGCTTCCTGTCGTAACATAGTGTTTTACTGGTTACAGAGCCACGAGTCCATCTCTAGGGTACTAACAAAGAGGATGGGCCTGATTTAACCACTTTGTGTTTATGGCGACCTAGGTTGTAAACTCTAATAAGAAGACACGAACTTTATGATCTTAGTATTACAGAATCAACAGCATAAGTAGACTACCCGCAGTTTTAATGAACTATTTACTAATTTGGAAAGTTGGATGTATTTTCGGAAAATTACAGACATTGGAAAGCGGGAGGGTTTTCCTAAAACGATTTGTGTAACTGGTTGTCGAGTCCGGATCGTAAGAGACCGTGAGCGGGAGTATAAATTACACAGCAGTGTATGTCTATCGTAGTGCAAAGTATACACCGACAAAGGTGGCCGCGGAATTCTCGCCTGTTGTGTCACCAACGTATATGAGTGTATTGATTGCTTATAAAGTTTCCAGACTGACATAACTCGGTTCAGTGTAATTGCCACAACAGAGTATTTCTATCCGATTGCAGGTGAGTAACTCTTGATTGTTCATGACCTTTGCTTGTATTTTCATTGTTGTATCATCTACTAGTATTTCGTCATCATAAGTGAACCAATATTTAGGTAAGTCGATCGATTGCCTTCGATTCAGTTATTTGATGACATGGTACCTGCTTGACTTGAATTGTTTTTACGATATTTGTATAAATAATGTTTTTCCTCGCCTCCGAGTATTTTTGTGTATGATAAGTAACATACAGTTTAATCAACGATGCAAAAATATATACAAACTAAGTTATACACCATTAAAAATAATTGCTTTGATTGCATTTTTCATGTTGATTCATGAACTTTGTTGCTGCCATAAGATACTTAATTGTCATCAGAGCAGATGTTATTTATTATTTTTTGAATGACAAAAAGTGATAGAAAAAAAAAGGCATCTATCAAGATGATATACTTAGTCCTTCATGCTTCCGTTTTAAGCATTGTTTTATACACGAGTTATCATACGAGTTGCTATGCCCGAGGTATCAGTGAGGGGATAGGGGAGAGTACGTGATACTAAAATTAGCTGAAGACAGACTGGTGGTATAACGGAAGTGTCATCGGCAGAATGACTAGGGCTTACCCTTAGTATGAACAGGGATCTAGATCGATAATTTAATAATAGGCTGGAGACGCCCCAAGGCAGTCTTTACGTTAGTGACCTAGAAATGTAACACTTCCTCGTCCCACATAAAACCTATATTAGCATGTTCAGTTGTTATCGTAATCAGCATCATTGGTCATCTTGACCCCTATGAATAGCAAATGAAGGTTATGATAAAGGTTTTAGTGTTTGATATTTTATTTGTATTCATTTCCCGTGAATAAATCGGTATTCCAGAAATGTAATATGAAGCAAAACTGGGGTAGAATTAAAAAAAATATCACCAGGTCAACATTTTCCTGGACAAGTTTTTTTTGCATTTCACTTGGTTGAAAGGCAAGTTGTTGGCTAAACACATTATGTCGCCCAAATCTTTGTACAGACACATTTTAGTGACATTTATATAAAGTCATGGCGACGTCATATTAAATGTATTACTTTTTTTACGTCATGCTTCTGTTCCATTTCCTTGAATTGATACTACACCCCCACTATACAGCTGTTTCGTCCTTCTAGGACTCACCGATGATGATAGGAGCAAAAAGGTGAATTAAAAAAAAAATGAAACTTAATTAAATGATCATTACGAGACATTCGTTTCATATATATCATGATGAAACAAAAAAGCAATGTGTGATCATAAGAAATCGTGGTGTATTTTTGCTAACCACGTTTTGAACGATTCCCTCGACATCATTTCGCTATGATAAATAAATTAAATATATTAATTGGCTGCGGAGTATGACATCAGAAAGTTTTGTTATCGTCTTCGAAGTTGACGTTTGAGCATATGCAGCTACAACAGGGTAATGGTACAGTTACTTAATGATACTGCCGTTGATCCTCTAACTAAATGACGTCCGGCCGACAACTGTATAAGCACAATGCGGGTGTATAGTCGCGTGCCTCAGGGCATGTCGATGACACGCGGCTATATACGCAGGTGTGTCTACCTGTTCGACGAATGGATGGGTAAAATACATTGTACTAAGGTTTTGAGAGGTCGGGGATAAATCCGACATCGAGTAATACGGGGTATTAGAGCAATGGTTGTTCGGGTATTCGAGGTTAATTTACCAAGAACATATAAGAACACGGTCGGGACCAAGCAAACTATTCAAGGAATATTGGGTATCCGAGTTAAGCGAGTTCGAGTAAGTGGGGTTTCACTGTATTTTCATATCATTTTATTTAATCTCCTTGTGAAAACCGAGTTTTACAAAAACAGCCAGCAAATCTTAACCTCTGCTGAATTTGTACATGTGTTCATTTAAATATATGGATACTTTCATATGTGTTTGGTACGAATGACGAATCAATAAATCAAGCTCATAGATGTATAGTGTAGGATTGATTTTACAATTAACCAACTATGTTTTCTATCAGCGCAACGCTAATGTTTCAAATTTCAATACCAAAATAGTATGTGTATAGCAATATCGTCTAGACGTGTCCAATGTTAAATGCGTATGTTACCATTTGTAGATTTGGTTTTTCATCTATTAAGTTAATTGTATTGGTTTTCCCTCATACCTGATGATGCAAGAGTTTTTATATAACATTGTAGTTCACTTTAAGTGATGTATCTTTTGCCTTTTCACAGAGATACTTTGGGAGTAATCTAAATTAATTTATTTCAAAAATGCTTTACGAAAAACAATAAATTATTTTCAGAACATTAGGCCATAGCATGCGATATATTTGAACCAAAACTCATACCATTAGTTAAATTGTCTTATTAAAACTTTACAAACAACAAACTTCTTGAAAAAAATGACTCACAACAGCTAGCAAAAATACTATTTTCAATTTCACACTGTGATTATTTTCTCATCCGTAACATAAATCATTGGTGGTTTTATACCTACTCAGTGTATAGCAAGTTGGCTGTCATAGTTATCTGAAACGGCAAAAATGTTTAATGATTTTCTGTGAATGTCATTTTACGAATACATGTAAACAGAATCACCGCTAAAAAGTATTCTGATTTGGCCGGGTCTAAATGATGGTAATGCCTTGGTTTTCTACACGGTGCGCTTGAATCTACGATGTTGAACTTAAACGGTTGTCATTATGATCCGATTTCCTTCTGTTATATTTGGTTGATCATCATTCAGTGTAAATTTAACTTTACTTTGCTTTCTGCTTCAAAAAACAATAATTTGAACAAATGCTTCTTTAAGATTTGTTTGCAAGGAATAAAGACATGTTAACTGTATACATGAATTACTCGTGAATGAAAACTATCTGTAAAAGCATACTTTATCACCTAGCGGCACCACGTTTGGTGCAGGAAACACCTATCCTGCCTACATGTGTTCGTGGTGTCTTTCTTTAGGTTTTGGCGTATCCTTGGATCATTTAAGTATCATTCTGTGTTTAATTCAATTCTGATGCTGCTCTTACCTAATTTCACTCTAGTTATTTCTTTGCTACTTTACTCATCAAAAACATGAAACAACTTTATTAGACTTATGAAATTAAAGCATTTAAAGTAAAATTATACATAACAATCACGACGTCCTTGACTATAAATAGGATACTAGATATAAATAGATAAGATATATTTGTCGGAGTTTAATTTACAGGTTATATAGGTAGGTTTGGAAACATGTTTTGAATACACTTAAGCTAAATTGTCTAATGTGTTCGACATGCAGCAACTGTTATCTCGGGAGTGCATCTGTAAATGTGTCCCTTATGCTCTGCAAGTTTTCCCGGTATCAGCTTACAGTGTACACAATACTGCTTGTAAATGCGTACTGCGTGTATTTGGGAGCAGCTTATCATATTATATAAAACACATTACATGTTTTTAGGGTTATAATAAAATCTGTACATGGACTAAACATCATACGTTTCTGCGACATGTGATCGCTCAGGCTAGAACGATGTGTAGCCACTGTTCTTATTATATGTTTTGTTCCGTCTGTTATGAAGGTAGTCTAGGCCAGGCTCTGCCGTCTTTCATACTGCTTCTGCCGGTACTTGCTTGCTGTTATGGTTCTGATAATATATATAATCGCAAACCAAAGACGTTTCGTAAACAGGCTAGATGTGTTAATAGGTTGTTGGGATGATCGACCACTTAAGAAAAAAAGCAGGTTAGGGTCCGCAGGCTCTGAACAGCTTGTATTGCAATATGCAGCACTTAATACATCTTTTTTTTTCATTTCTTGGTTAATACCTGCCTTACTTAAGAAACGTTAGATTTAACGCGTGTATCACTGTAAGTACTGTATTTTTTCGTGATCAATTATCGTCTTGATAACGCACTCTCATCTCTACCAGTAAGATTATATTAATGCAATCTACCAAATATATTGCAAAATTTATCATGTCGGATCCGGCATCATCAGTTTTGACCGGAATATAAAACTATGAAATAATTCCTTATTAAAATACCACCGATGTGATTTAGGCTATCCGTGGCTGCACAAAGTTTGCAAAGATGAATTAAATATATCTGAGCTAAAACCCACAGAGCAGCTTTGTAAGTAGCGGTTCATCACTGTTATTCTATGCAAACGTAGTGATATGCTCTGCTGAGATAGATCGAGTTTACCCTACTAGGAAGGATTATTATTGAAAGCGGTGACGCTCGTATTCTTTGAAATATGTATTAAGATGAATACAAAAATACATCTGTTCATCTTTGCGTTTCAATCTGATTTCTCGAGTGGGTAATTATCACCGCTTACATGATCTATAACACTAAATAGTGTGCTTCTTTGAGGTGTCGAGTTTATAAAATATCTAACCAGTTCTATCTGTATTATTATATTTTGGCTCCCAAAAATAGTTACCTTTCGCCTGTAATGAATAAGTCTTATGAAGGAAAATGTAACGCCCCTTCCCTTTGAAATTGCCTTCTCCAATTAATGTAGCATCAGATATGGGCAACAGAACTTCTGTGAAATCAGATTAAAGAAACTTACCTTCCTTGTAGATTTCTTCACATGTGTTGGTGAAGTTCTTTTAACTGTAGTGATCAGCTTTACAAATATTGTGTGATTTGCACAAATTAAAATGACGATACAGATACATATCTAACAGGGAGAGTATATACTGGCAGTTTGTTTGCTTTTCTGAATTATTTAACCGCTTTATCCCAACATACATCGTAGTTTATGTGTTACCTGTCGGGAGTACAGAAATACGTTTTCTTGAATTTGAGTTACTTTCACATTTTCATCAACAAAGATTATGGAGTATTAATAAAACAAATATCCAAATCTTGAGCAACAGAAACCAACATATGAATACAGGCATTTGTCGGTTAGACAAGCTTCGTTTGACTCGTTCGTGCGTCCTGTGGTTTCTTTTTCACTTTATCGGTCCCATCTTTGAGAACGTTACATTTCTAAGCTTTGACCT